GTCTGTCCCTGAGGGCATCGGGCCACCGTCAGCATGGCATAAAGACAGCAGAGAAACATGAATGGTTGAGTTGATAATAAAGGAGAAAGAATTATGCTGGTAATCAGATGTCATTTTTTCAAAGAAATCATTATAATAAACTTAGAGTGGTATCTGGATAAAACATAACCTACCAAGACTCGCAGAATTATAGTAATATGCGGCTGGTGAAGATGATTGATCTACGTACACACAGACCACACCACACAGACACACACCAGACAGACAACAGACACACACAGACACACCACACACACACACCACCACTACACACACACCACCCAAGACACACACACAAACAGACACACACAGACACACACACACACACACAGACACACACACAACCACACACACACACACACACACACACACCACACACACACACACAACACACACACACACCAACAGACACACACACACGACACACAACACACACACACCACACAGACACACACACACACAAACACACACACACACACACACACCACACACACACACACACACACAGAGACACCACCACACACGACACACAAACACACACACACACACAAACACACCACACACACAGACACACACACACAGACACCACACCACACACACACACACACACACACACACCAGACACAGAACACACACCACACACACACACAAAGACACACACACAGACAGACACACAACAGACACACACACACACCAGACACACACACACAGACACACACACAGACACACACAGACACACAACACACAGACACACAACACCACACACACACACACAGACACACACACACACAGACACACACACACAGACACACACAGACACACACACAGACACAACACACAGGGACACACAGACACACACACAGACGCACATACACACAGACACACACACTGACACACACACACACACAGACACACACACAGACACACACTGACACATGGTCTGAATGACCTACAACCTTTTTATCACTGAAGAGGAATTATCAACAGCTGTTCTGTTATAATAGTCGTTTGTATTTGGCCCGCTTCTATTTTTCTCTTCACATAAATATGAAGAATCCTAATGGGGTCCATGCTTTGAACAGTGAACTATGAAGCCCTGATTGACCTGCTATGTATGCTATGCTACTTGTATTTACAGTGGAATCGGCTGCACACTGCTGCTCATGCTCCCAGGTGATGTATTATAATGTTGTATGTATTATACATTTCCACCCTTAGGTCTTCATCAAGAATCCATATCCCATGTGGGGCTTGAAGGTCTTATACAGTGCCTTTGGAAAGTATTCAGACCCCTTGACTTTTTCCACATTTTGTTACGTTACAGTCTCGTTCACTGCAGGGGCCTTGGTCTGGCTCGGAGTACACTGAGCCAGGGTCGGCTGATATCCCAGGATGCACTGTAAAGGAGTCAGCCCGGTGGAGGAGCTCTGGACGTCCTCCGCCCAAATAAGGAACCGGGCCCCCTGTCGGTCCTGGCAGTGACTCCTCAGGAACCTCCCCAGCTCCTGGTTGGTCCTCTCTACCTGCCCATTGGACTGAGGCCGGGACCCGGATGTGTGGCTGGTCGTGGCCCCCAGCTTCTCCATGAAGGCTCTCCATACCCTCGACGTGAATTGGGGGCCACGGTCAGAGACGATGTCCTCCGGAAAGGCCATAAGGCCATAGTGCCTCAGCGACCTGGAGAGCGGTAGGTAGACCGGCGAGAGGGATAAAATGGCAGGATTTGGAGAATCTGTCCACAACCAGAATAGTGGTAAAACCATCAGAAAGGGGGAGATCCGTTAGAAAGTCTATGGACAGATGTGACCAAGGCCGCTGAGGCACGGGAAGGGGAAGTAGTTTCCCTGCTGGAGCGTGCCGGGGAGATTTAGTTTGGGCACATATGGAGCAGAAGTTGACATAGCGGGCGATGTCCTGAGCCAAGGTGGGCCACCAGTACTTATCGGAGAGGGATTGGATAATGCGGGTGATACCTGGGTGTGCAGCGGCGAGGGATGTGTGTGCCCAGGTCAACAGCCGATCTCTCACCCCCGTGGGGACGTAGATGCATTCTGCAGGGCAGGTAGCAGGAGCGGGTTCCCTTTCCAGAGCCTGGCGGATGTCCACATCTACGTCCTAAAACATGGGGCCAACGATACGGGAGGACCGATTGATGGGCTGGAGGGCACGTACATGACTCTCAACCGGCGTGGAACCACAGAGTACGGGAAAGCAGGACTTTTATTTTTCATGAGTTCACCTACAAAAAGTAGCTGGATCCGCATATGTTCTTCAGCTGCTGTATCTACAGTGCCTTGCAAAAGTATTCCGACCCCTCTGATTTTTTCACATCTAATTGTTTTACAAAGTGGGATTCAAATAGATTTTTGGGGGGTCAACAATATACACAAAATACTCAGTAATGTCAAAGTGGAAGAAAAATTCGATAAAAAAAAAAAAGATTAATAAAAAATGTAAGATGCGCTATGCAGAAATCGCTCCGCCATTTCCTGGTGGCTTAAATTCTAAAAGTTTGCCTAATTTCAGTTTATGTGACAAAAAAAGCAAGTGTAGTGTAGAGAATCATTGTACCCTCTAAACTGCTGTGAAATATATTTTCCATAACCATAATTATTATAATAATAATATAGAAAATGCACTGTAGTCAGTCAGAGAAGGTGGAACAATGTTTCGACAGGGGGTGCTTTTTTTTGGCATGATTTAGATATGTTTCTGCTCATAATTTACAACATGTTGGTAGGCTATTTGTTAGTCGTTGTCTATAATTAGATACATGCAGCTTCTCTTCTGTCATCACTTGTTGCCTTAGAAGACTAAATAATCCCTTGTTCACCAGAATGATGACACACTAACTACACATGTCGCGATTCCAGAAGTAACAATGCACAAGCAGTCTATATCCGTTCACTTTACCAGCATTGCATCGTGTAGATGCCAGAAAAATAGACTAGCTTTATAATTTGAAGCGCATGAAGTAGTGCGTTGACTGTCGTGGCCCATATCTTTTCTCTCATTCACTACCGTGCATTCTAATCCCAGCGTGTACACGCTCATTCACGCAGGTAAAAATGCATGTAAAAAAAAAGCAGATAAATTGCCTGGGTTGATAAATTGCTTAGAACCGCCAAAAGGCCAAACGCCCACTGATGTTTGATATTGTAAATAAATAAAAATCAGCCGAAAAAAAAGCTATGTCCTGCTCCTTCCCGGACTTTTCCTAAATATTTGTGTTTTTGCTCATTTGTCAGAATTTTAAAAATCACCTACAGAAAGTATTTAGAGGCTATTTACCTTCATTTATTTCCTAACTTACCCCGCCAAGACAATGTGCTGTAGGACGTTGGTACCCAGCCAAGACAATGTGCTGTAGGACGTTGGTACCCAGCCAAGACAATGTGCTGTAGGACGTTGGTACCCAGCCAAGACAATGTGCTGTAGGACGTTGGTACCCAGCCAAGACAATGTGCTGTAGGACGTTGGTACCCAGCCAAGACAATGTGCTGTAGGACGTTGGTACCCAGCCAAGACAATGTGCTGTAGGACGTTGGTACCCAGCCAAGACAATGTGCTGTAGGACGTTGGTACCCAGCCAAGACAATGTGCTGTAGGACGTTGGTACCCAGCCAAGACAATGTGCTGTAGGACGTTGGTACCCAGCCAAGACAATGTGCTGTAGGACGTTGGTACCCAGCCAAGACAATGTGCTGTAGGACGTTGGTACCCAGCCAAGACAATGTGCTGTAGGACGTTGGTACCCAGCCAAGACAATGTGCTGTAGGACGTTGGTACCCAGCCAAGACAATGTGCTGTAGGACGTTGGTACCCAGCCAAGACAATGTGCTGTAGGACGTTGGTACCCAGCCAAGACAATGTGCTGTAGGACGTTGGTACCCAGCCAGGCGCTAATGAGTCTCTCTCTCCTCACTGAATGAATGACAAATGGGTGAATGGGCAATAATTGTGCACCTTTACTTCACAATCAAATTTAAATTAGACCCAACTAAATAATAAGGAGCGTGAAGAGGTTGATTTAATTTAGATAGACAATAGTGTAATGATGAGTTTGTGTTATGCCTATTGATCAACAGCAAATAACTTTGTAAAAATAAGCTGTTATTGGACTGTTTTATCTACTATAACTCTATTACTAATCAAATGTATTGTAAAGGAAATGAAAACATGCTACATGTTGCAGTAGGCCTTTAGAATAATGCAAAACATATGTTGTTTAATGCTGAATGCTGAACGAGAGACCTCGGTTTATTGTTTTTGTAACGTTGTGACAGTGTTTCCTGGAAAATTTGATTTTATATACTTTTTGACTTTGGATTTTGGATCCCGCGGCTTAGTTGCTGTGAATGCTACTATCTGTCCTAGGATCCTGCCAGATTCCATGTAAAGAGAGAGACACAGTGTCAGGATAAACGTGTATGGGGTTATAAAGGGAAACCATCAACACTAATGGGAAACAGGTGTACACAAAGCAGACCAATCTAGATGATTGCTGAAACCTAGATCGGTGGCAGCTAGTACTCCGGGGACGACGAACGCCGAGGCCTGCCCGAGCAAGGAGGAGGAGCAGCCTCGGCTAAATCCGTGACACACGGAATCCCAGCTAGGCTAGCTGGCTCGGCAGTCTCAAATGGAGGTCGCTGCAGGAGCTGTGTTTACTTTGCTTTATTCCGGGACAATGTGGACTGCTCAGACTTTAAATGTAGCAACTGCTTGCTTGCGGAGGACTACAGGGGCGAAGTGGCTACTCTTAGCAAGGAAGTAGCAAACCTACACATGCTACTGGGGACCCACACCCGCCTACTTTCTCTTTTTCTTCTACCCCAATAGCCAGACGCCGCTCTGGTCTGATCTGAACGCCGCTCTGGTTCTTCCCTGGAGAACGGAGGTAGTAGGATGCTCCTGGATGACCTGGGGGATGTTCCTGTTCTCGACCCAACCAACCAGCCATGGAGATACGTCACTCGTCGTGGAAGTCGAAGAAAGTATCCTCTGACAACGGGGGCCTCCTTGGAGATATTAAGCCCGGACCGGACACAGACCAGAAATTGCTTTTTCATCCTAGATTCAGAGGTTCCGGCGCCTTCTTCCTTAGGGGCTTACGATTCGAGATCGGATCTGGAGGTACCTGCGCCTTCGTCCTCTGTTCTGTCTCCCTCTTCGGTGGCTTCTTCCTCGGGTTCAGATCCTCAGAGCTCCCACCCTCATCAGACCGTGAGGCTGCCTGAGAGACCGGCCCATTCATCATCCATGATGGATATTACAGCAGGCTCGGTTCCATCGGACCCCAGCGCCCTTCGGTCCTCAAAGCGTCTTCACTCGAGGCGAAAGAACGGCCGGATCTCCTCGGCTATTTCACCAGCTGTCATCATCGGCAGCTCTATGGTGCGAAACATCTCGGTTCCTAGAGCAAAAACCGTGTCTTACCCAGGAGCACGAGTACAGGACATTGCAAGGCTGCATCCGACCGTTCTATGACAGCTGCCAGGGGCTGACGCTGACGTAGTCCATGTGGGGTCAAACGACATCAGGAGGGCTAGCTCGGAACATCTGAAAATTGATTTTAAAGAACTGAAAGATACCAAAAAGCCAATCATTTCAGATCCGTTACCATTGATGGACCGCGGGTGTGAAGGATTCAGCAGGCTACTGGCATTACACATCTGGCTAAAAGATTACTGTAGCTCTGCTGGAATAACTTTTATAGATAACCTGGACACCTTCTGGAAACAGAAGATACTCCACAGGAATGACAGAGTCCATCCAAATTCTTGGCTCCTTGACTCTGTCCACGCATGTCAAGGCTGCATTGAAACATTGACTTATCAATTACAAAAGACCAGCTCAGTTAATCCCTACCATTGTGACAATAAATAGGTTTTATGGTAAGTAGGTTTTAAGCTAAATAGGTGTTAAGCTAAATAGGTGTTAAGCTAAATAGGGTTTAAGCTAAATAGGTGTTAAGCTAAATAGGTTTTAAGGTAAGTAGGTTTTAAGGTAAGTAGGTTTTAAGCTAAATAGCTGTTAAGCTAAATATGTGTTAAGCTAAACAGGTGTTAAGCTAAATAGGTTTTAAGCTAAATAGGTTTTAAACTAAATAGGTGTTAAGCTAAATAGGTGTTAAGCTAAATAGGTTTTAAGGTAAGTAGGTTTTAAGCTAAATATGTGTTATGCTAAATATGCGTTAAGCTATATAGGCGTTAAGCTAAACAGGCGTTAACCTAAAGAGGTGTTAAGCTAAAGAGGTGTTAAGCTAAATAGGTGTTAAGCTAAATAGGTTTTAAGCAAAATAAGTTTTAAGCTAAATAAGTTTTACGCTAAATAGGCGTTAAGCTAAATAGCTGGTAAGCTAAATAGGTGTTAAGCTAAACAGGTGTTAAGCTAAATAGGTTTTAAACTAAATAGGTGTTAAACTAAATAGGTGTTAAGCTAAATAGGTGTTAAGCTAAATAGGTTTTAAGGTGAGTAGGTTTTAAGGTAAGTAGGTTTGAAGCTAAATAGGTGTTAAGCTATATAGGTTTTAAGGTAAGTAGGTTTTAAGCTAAATAGGTGTTAAGATAAATTGGTGTTAAGCTAAATAGGTTTTAAGCTAAATAGGTTTTAAGCTAAATAGATGTTACGCTAAATAGGTGTTAAGCTAAATAGGTGTTAAGCTAAATAGGTTTGAAGCTAAATAGGTGTTAAGCTAAATAGGTTTTAAGGTAAGTAGGTTTTAAGGTAAATAGGTGTTAAGCTAAATAGGTGTTAAGCTATATAGGTTTTAAGGTAAGTAGGTTTTAAGCTAAATAGGTGTTAAGATAAATTGGTGTTAAGCTAAATAGGTTTTAAGCTAAATAAGTTTTAAGCTAAATAGATGTTACGCTAAATAGGTGTTAAGCTAAATAGGTGTTAAGCTAAATAGGTTTGAAGCTAAATAGGTGTTAAGCTAAATAGGTTTTAAGGTAAGTAGGTTTTAAGGTAAATAGGTGTTAAGCTAAATAGGTTTTAAGGTGAGTAGGTTTTAAAGTAGGTAGGTTTTAAGCTAAATAGCTGTTAAGCTAAATAGGTGTTAAGCTAACTAGCTAGCATGTCACCACGTGAAAAAGTAGCTGGCTAGCTCACTAAAAACGTGTCAATAAAAAGGTCACAATATAAATTATTTATCTGAGAAACTAAAAAGGCTATAATATCTACGCTACTTGCTAGGTTACCTGCTACTTGACGATGAGTTCGCATGGAGAAATGTGCCTTGAGGGATGACGTCAAAGCTTGCAACAAGATGTGTAGTTCTGTCTGATGGCCACATTAGCAGCTAATTAGCATTTTGTTTATGCGGGGTAATTACAGGCAAATATATTGATAAAAGTCACCTTGTCCGAGAGAGATTTACGCGGTTATCAAAACGTCACGCCAGGGGAAGCCTACACTAAACACAGACCTTATATGAAATAGTTCTATAATTCCAGATGCAAAAATGAATGGTGAAAAAAACATTGGAACCATTTCCGGGTTTTACCGGTAGGTTTTATGAGTATTATGACTCATACTGTGGTACTCAATTCTCTCCATGTTCTTGTCACAAGATTCCTCTTTGCTCTACAGCCACACCACTGTTGTCTCCACTGCACCACTGTATGCCTTGTGTTGCACTACACTGTCGTTACTGTATGTATGGCTACTATTTCATTGTGCTATGTAAACTATCTTGTATCTTCAGAACAGATCAACTTTGAGGTTATTACTAAGCTTACTTAAATATTGGACGCTGTGAAAGACTTTGCCAACAAATAAGGGAGCTGAAATGAGGGAGCTGAAATGAGGGAGCTGAAAAAATACCTTTGAACTTGAGATGAGTTAAATGGAATACTAACGAAATCTGGACATTGACAGGCCTATAACATCTCACATGTAGCCTAATATGAAATGAACTCCTGTAGAATTAAATATTTCTTGCAGTACAATGATGCTCCAACTGTTTTTTGTATTGTCGTGTATTGAGATTATGACTATTTTGGAGGAACAAGGAATGTTGTTTAGGTTAGTATCAGAAGGCAATGTTTTAGGTGTAATACCACATACCACAGACAGGTGGGTTGTAGACAGGGGAGACTGGTGATTGGCCAGAAGAGGGAGTAGCCCCTCCCTTTGCATTGTTTATAAATAGGAGTTAAACGATGAGACGACAGAACGGCCATAACAATCTGGGAGGCGTTCTCCAGGCAACGCGTGTCTGTGAATTTATGCTGTAACCTCGTGGTATGAATAAAAACTTCTGACACGATGCAGCATAACGGACTTTTTGTTCATCAGCAATATTACCACCATCATCATATACGACATAATGGCGCCCAACGTGGGGCATGGGTTTGCGTCTCCTCTTTGTTTCAGTCAACCGCCGGCCTAACTCTCTCTGAAGGCATGGCCGAAAAAGGTGAGTTGTTTTCAGC